TTAACCAAGCGCCATCTAGTCCCACGGTAAATAGATCTTGTGTTATAGGTACTAGACAACTGATAATAAATACTTAGATACTTTTTTTGTAAATACATATATATAATATCCATAGAAAACAACCAGATAGATACAAACAACCATACTCATGAATAGAAATGTTTGCACCGTGCGAGGAATCGAACCCGCGACCATCGGAAGTAAAGAGGTGTGCTAAACCGCTAGACCACCGCGGCCGTCAATAATATTGCTATTATTCTTACTGTACAATGTAATATTTTGTTTTGATACAATAAATTAGAAATAATATTTGAGGTTCCTTATGTACGGTTCCGTATGATATTCCATGTATGTTAGAGTATAAAAAAAAACCAGTAGCGTGTGTACTGGAATGGAGCTGGCAGCTTACCTGATTAAAAGTGGTAAACTCCTATAGTATCATCATATATCCTATAATACCATCCGTCATACTCGTGAACGAGTGCTGCTTGTAGGGATTGGTCTGCTATTATCACTACGACTGATTTAATCTTATTGTTTATTTATATTTGATAAATTAGTGTTGGTTGGTAGTTTGTATTCACACGTTTCGACTTGTAAATGTAAACTTACAAGGATTTTTTAAAAGAGCAACACACAAGTTTCTTGCTCGTTCTTCTTGTGATGAGACAGCTTTCTGAACGAGCGGTAGATAAAAAGTTTTTTTTATGCCTATTCAAAAGTGCTTAAATTAAGTTTATTTGAATAAATTATTTTCTATTCTATTCTAGTCCACGAACAACCAACACCACAAAACCATCCCGCAAAATTCACACTACAATTCGAGATAGAATCTTTCATCTCTAAAACTGAATTGCTTTACATACATCAATGCACTGCGTATGTTCTGTTTTCACAGAATTATCCCACACGTTCCCTTAATGCGAAGTTAGTTCAGTCCTTGACATTACAGTTCTAGGTCGACCGGGATATCCAACAGACTTACACGTGGCAGCCATTCTAGAGCTTTCTACAAATACAACATTATCGACATTTGTTAACCTTGCTCGTATTCACAATGCTTATTCTCCTTTCATTCTTCTAGGTACAGAATAATTTAAGTAGTATTCTAGAATACTGTTATAATACTCTATACTAGGGCTGCCAAGACCAAATTTAAAAAACCAGGATTGAAAGTTCAAAAAACAAGGACTATCCAGTTTAAAAACAGAACGCAGTAATAGTGTTGCAATAGTTATATTAATATGTAGTAAAATTAATATAATCAGGTTTTTAATATAAAGTATTCCATAAAATTATACTATTGAAAATCAGTAAATAAGAGGCGCGTATATTTTAAAAGCCCAGGACGCTGCCATATAACTATTAAGGACCTCCCAGGACACTACAAAAACTAGGACATGTCCTGGGAAAACAGGACGGTCGACAACTCCTCGGCTCGGCAAAAAAAATGCCAGAGTATTTTATCAGAACTTGCATTGAAACAATTTGTACTAATTTATAAATTTGTAGATAAAATTCTAAATAGGTAATATTTGCTTTTTACAGTAAATTAAATTTAGAAAGTAATGTAAATATGTGTGTAACTGTTTAAGAAGTCAACACGGAGCTAACATGTTCACTATTGTGATCCTAAGCTCCTAAATAAATAAAAACAATATATATGGGATTGTATTAATTATTTATATATTGTAAAAATAAGAATAACTTATTTTAAATATAATATAAATATAACAATATATATATGAAAGAAACAAGAGAAGTTTCTTTCTAAAGTCTTTTAAATATTTATAATATTAATATCATCACAAAAAAAAAAATATATAGTTAAGAGACCGGACGGTATGAGTTTGATTCCATGGAAGATGGGCCGGGTGCAGGTATGGGATGCAACCTGTGCAGACACGCTGGCCCCATCCCATCTACATGGAACCAACAACATGGGGCGGCATGTGAAGCGGCTGAAAAAGCCAAAATATGTAAATACAGGGGTCTAGGCTCCGAATATGAATTTGCCCCATTCGGTGTCGAGACCCTTGGTCCGTGGGGTCCTAGCGCTATAAGACTTTTCAAAGAAATAACGAAAAGGTTAGTCGACATCACAGAAGACCGAAGAGCTGGCAGCTACCTTGGACAAAGAATTAGTCTAGCTATTCAAAGAGGGAACGCTGCCAGTATTTTCGGAACGTTGCCTAAAGGGACCCCTTTTAATAATATATTTTAGTCATCATATTATATATTTTTTTTAAGCTTTTTAATTTTAGGTTCTTAGGTGTACAATTAGGTTATGTAAATACTAGTAATAAATTTATTTTAAAATAAATTATTCCTATTTTTATTATTATTATATTAAGCACTGTTGGATTTCCGTATCTCTTTTTAAGGGGAGAATTTACTCAGCAATAGTTAAGAGGGTTATTATAAAAAATACAGCCATACTTACGACTTTTTCTCAAATTAGTTTATAATGTATATTTGTATATATTTATATGTAATATGTAAGTGTATGTAATTAGTATATTTATTGTATTAAAAAGTAGGTCAATTCTATTAATGTATGTACGTATTTATGTGTATTATTTTTTTAATTATAATTCTATTAGCCGCATTCAAGTATCTCTGCAAATCCCAAAGGTTGACTGGGAGAAAATGCTACAGCATTAAGTTCACCTTTTGTACCAATAAAGCAAATAAATAAAAATAAAAATATATATATATAGGTATAATATAATACACACATGTTAACAGTATAGACAAGACATCTATCTTTAATTTATTTACCGGACAAACAAGTTAAGTCAGTAGCAATAACGTCAATGAAATAGGCGTCAAGGAAAAGTAATATGTTAAATGGAATACACCCCGACAATATTATTATTTTAAGGTATTCTAGCGTCATTCGTGTACATGTACAGCCGTGTTATCATCTATTATTATTCCTTATCATGATTCTGTACAAGCCCGAAAATCTTGTACTAACCAAATCTAAAAATGACTTCCGAAAGATTAAAAGCATTGGACTGATTTTTACAGTATTATATATTATACTCTCGTTAGATTACGGTTTTGTTAATTTCGAATCGAGACGAATCAGATTACTCTTAAAGTTTTTACTTTTAATTAAGACAGTGTGTGTAAGTGGCACTTTGATTAGATATTTTTTTTTTGACATGGACGTTTTCTTCGCTCTATGGTACACGTTGTACTTACTGAAATATCTGTCCTGTGTTTTAACTGTATTGTTTATTAATACAGAAATAAACTTTTACGATGTGCAAAATGATTTGTATGTAGTCGATAGAAATTTGGAATACAATACATACAACCTCAGCCATCATGTTTTACTTGCGTTTTTATATACTGTTAGTTATAGAATATTTCTATCTTTTATATACTGTAGATATTATATAGAATTTTGCGTTGAATCCGTATATATGCGGTTTCTTTACTTCGTTCCTTTATTGTGCGAGGATAACACGCTTATTGTATATTTCTTCATTTATTATTCACTTTATCATCGTTTAAAAATATTCACCTCTTACGTCAAGAATCATAACGGGAATGTTGTGTTCTGTCAAAAGATTTATAAGACATTGTGGAAAGTAGCTGACAAGGCCAGACGTGCTTATAATTTCACTGTAAGTATATTATAACTATTATTTTAAATAAAAAATAATCAAGAATGAACATACGACAGTTTTATAATAATCTAAATTGACGGCCGCAGTGGTTTAGCGGTTTAGCACTTTACTTCAGATGGTCGCGGGTTCGATTCCTCGCACGGTGCAAACATTTGTATTAATGAGTATAGTTTGTATCGTTCTGGGTGTTTTCTATGTATATTATGTCTGTCTTTACAAATAAAAAAATCTAAGTATTTATATTAGTTGTATAGTAACCATAGAGTAGATGGCGCTGTGGGAATTGTCCAGGCTGATTATTATTGTTTTTATTATTATTAATTGCAGTTCTTGGTGACTCTTGTCGTTAACACATTGGATGTAATGACAACAATTTATTTCCCACTGGCAAATCCAGATCGTGAGGTAATTATAAAATACATACTTTATATATTTATATAAATACATACATATATATTTTTTATTAAAAGATTAGCTGTGCCTACAGTTACCTATGAAATTTACTGCCTATGTGTTATTCCGATGTATAAGCTATGTTACTATGTAAGAAGTGACGACATTGTTTTATGATAACTATGTAATGATATTTTACAAACCTTGAATGTCATGTTATTTATATCACAGAGAAGATAATATTACATATTTCTATTAAATCTATTTCAAGCTTCTAACTTTAAAAATAACGATGCTTCCATGCAAAGTTTCATCTCCTCGTTCAACCTATAACCATTTTTTACATTAAAATTATAATCTCATTTAAATCGGTTCAGTAGTTTTGGCGTGAAAGTGCGATAGACAGACAGAGTTGCTTTCGTAGTTATAATATTAGTAAGGATTACAAAAAAGTCTATTTTGGTCACTGCGACTTATTAATTATGAAACGGATTTTAATGTAGCAATAGAGTGATTCAAGAGGAAGGTTTATATGTATAATTAGCTTTTGCCCGCGGCTTCGCTCGCGTGAATTTATCCCCTTAGGGGTGGAATTTATCAAAATCCTTTCTTAGCGGATGCCTACCTCATAGTAGCTTTATGCATGCAAAGTCTGACCCCTCCGATCGATCCCCCGTCCAATTCAAACGGGGATCGAAATTACGACGGCCTGAGCCGAGGTTCGAACCCCTAGTGGTGCCCTCAGACTAAAGTCGTATCCGTCAGGCAGGAGTTGGCCTTCAGCCGCTCCATAAGTCCTTCCGCGGATTTGGAGTGCCATCTGCACTCGCTCCTAACGTCCGGTGAAGCTGTAAAGGCCAGCTACGGCCAACAACATTAGAGTAGTCCGAAGAAAAAAAAAAGCAAAGTCTGAGCCCGATCGGTTTAAAATTGTAGCTAGATTATAAATTATTTATTAAATTTCAGAATTCTATTGTGAAACTTTTAATGCCATACATATCCGTCATGCAATCCTTCATACTTATCTTCGCACCAGCGCTGGCAGCCGGCATGTTACGTTCCCAGTCGGAGAAATTAAAAATGGTGCTGCACGATAGACTGTTTCAAGAACGAGGTAATATTTTTATTATTTCATGAAATTAAGTGTCTACTTATTAATTTACTTGAAGGTTACTGATACTCCACCAGCGAAAACATTTTTGTATTGATGTGACATTTTGTCAAAATGTTGGTACACTTGATATGAAACGATGAATTTATGAAAATTATTATTGAGGGAAATAATAGAACGAAAGAGGGGTAGAGGAAGACCAAAAACAGTTACATCAAGCAAATTGAAGACAATATTGGTGTTGTGTCGTATTAACATTTAGAGAGGATGAAGGAAGATCATGGAAAGTGGCAAGATCTCCACTGACAAGAGCGTAGCTCTTAAATTATGAATGAATGAATGTGGTATTTTGTTTTCTCTCAAAGTTCAATGTTTTAATTTCATATATTAAACAGTTTGCATAACAAAAGAAATTAATAAGACAGAGATACGTATATAGTGATCTATCTTTGTAAATTTTATTAGTGAATAGAGTCTGTTTGAACCTAAAATAGAACCTTGGTATACCACCAATGTACAAATTAAATACATCCCATGGTCGTGGGTTCGATTCCTCGCACGGTACAAACATTTGTATTCATGAGTATGATTGTTTGTATCGGTCTGGGTGTTTTCTATGTATAATATGTATTTATTTACAAAAACAAAATGTATCCATGTATTTATATCAGTTGTCTAGTACCCATAACACAAGTTTTGCTGACCTTGGGACTAGATGGTGCTGTGTGAATTGTCCTGAGATATTATTATTGTTAATTGTATTTCTTTCTTCTTTTCATCTTCCTTTTCGATTTTCAGTTACACATAACGAGATTAATTGTTTTGTTTATGATTAAAAATGATTATTCATTATAAAGATTTATTAATGATTCTTCCTAATTTTATGTATTAATTTTCTTTTTCAGAGCAAATACACTCTACGGACATAGAGAAATTCACAAGATACATAGATGCCCGTCCATTCAAGTTTACAGTCGCCAAGATTATACCTTTAGATTGGAAACTGCCGCTTATTATATTAAATATAACTATTACTTATTTAATTGTGATAATACAATTTGCACAATTGTACTAATTATAAATGTAAAAAAATGTTTACATACAAGATATGCATATTGGTATTTGTTGTACTCTTATTTTGTGGAGTTTTAGAAATAAATTCAAATGAAAAGATCTGATGTATTTTTTAGCCACACTGCAGTGATCGTAGGAAAAGGGAAATAAGGAACTCACCCAAATTGCACAAATTATAATATAGATGATCTGCGTCGGCGACTTGAAGCACTTGAAGTTTTCAATTACAATACACCACACTCGCGACACAAATACAGTTTGTTATAATATTTAAGGAGCTCCTTGATTAATTAAAATTGATGCATGCGGTGGTTGTTTCACTTGTTAGATGGCGGCGAATAATAATTGTCCATATTGTGCCGGGGAAAGGGGGGCGGGAAAAAAAGCAGTGTGGCGACTTACCAACCTATTATTATTATTTTTTTTTATGGTTTTAGAAGACGCGCGAACAAGATCAATAAAGAAAACTGTATTGTTCTCTTAAAAAAAGAACGTTGCAAGTTGGTGTTGCATCGGTCTGGGTGTTTTCTATGTACTATATATTATGTATGTGTTTACAATAAAAATAACTATTCATATCAGTTGTCTAGTACCTATATGCGCTATGTTAATTGTCTAGGTTTATTTATATCGATACAGTAAACAAAAATATTAGACGGAAGTAGTGAAAATAAAATTATATGTAGCGAAATCTCTTTACAATCTTCTAAAAGATCATAGTCTGTCACTACAGTGGGTTGTATATTAGAATGAGTATCCAAAGCTAGAGTATTTAGCTGGGCAGAGAGGTAAATGCAAGCAATGAAGGTGAGTGTTGACGTATCTTGGCAAAGGCGTCCCTTAAACCCACAGCCGGGTCAAGTGCCGGGAACTGCTTGGAGTTTCCTTCTGTCATACGATGGACTCGGCACCGGCACGGTGATCCATGGAATGACACGAACATGTCGCAGGATTTATGTTTATAAGTTTCATAATCATTTTTACGCATAATATTTAATTGTACATATTTACTAATAATTATACTTTTGTTGCTCAAGTAAACGCAATGCAGTCATGCAAATATAAATAAATAATAAATTTACGACGGTGAGCAACTCATATATAGACGACCTCGGTGGTGTAGCGGTCTAGCACACCGCTTTACGACCGATGGTCGCGGGTTCGATTCCTCGCACGGCACAAACATTTATATTCATGAGTATGATTGTTTGTATCGGTCTGGGTGTTTTCTATGCATATTATGTTAATGCCCAGCAATATGATTTAAAATTGCTGGGCACATAACATTAAAAAATAGTCTTTAATAGAAAACAAAATATAACTAACCTTCGTAAAATTAGTACAACTAGGTACCTAATGAATTTTCGACTAATGTACCAATATTTATTATCATTATCATCATCATCTGCTTTCCCTTTCCCTTATCCCATTTAATTGGGGTCGGCGTAATATGTTTTTCGCTTCCATTCATCCCTGTTCGCAGTCATCGCGTTATTTATTTCCTTTCTTACCATATCATCTTTCACACAGTCCATCCATCTCTTTTTCGGCCCTCCTCTGCCCTTATAACCATCCACATTCATATGTAACACCTTTCTTAAAATATTATCCTCGTTCCTACGCATTACATGTCCAATGTACCAATATTTATTACATTACTAAGTAATTACTTTAATAAAAACTAATGATTTAGTTCGTTAACGATGGATTGTTTCAGCCTAATAGATGACAAGTTTACAATTTTAGTGATATTCGTGAAAGTATAACGCATCGCAACGAAAGTAATAAATCTAAGAAATGTTATACAATTTATCATCTACACGGATGAATTCATTATTTACAAATAGAAAAATGTCGTCAAAAAAAGAATCTATTGGGCGAAACGTATTCTTTCTCATTATTTTTGTATTATTTGGTCTCAATTTTGGATTTATTACGTTCAAATCGAAGAAATTGAGAAATGCAATGAAATGTTATACACTGCTTCATGCATTTGCTGTAACTGTTACACTGGTGATGTCCTATCATTTTGTTGGAACAGATTTAGTGGTCACTGGGTTGAACATTTGGCATTATCTACATATTATTAAATATATAATTTGTGTTTTGTGTGTCTCGTTCGGTAAAGAAGGATCAAACATGTATAATTTACAAAAAGATTTACATCAACTGGACTGTAAATTGTATCTTACTAGTGATCCTTACAAATTTGATTACAAAGTTATATTTGTAACTTGTTTTGACGTGTCGTGTAGAGTTTTAATATCTGTAATATATTGTACGCACTATTCGGAACATTGTAGTGTTACTACTGTAACTAGAATATTTTTCTTTATACTATTATTATGTGCTGATATTACTATAATAATAGGTTTCTTTGTATTTGATACTGTACATTGTCGCTTAAAAATATTAATTGATTTAGCAAAAAGCTACAATGATGTGGAATATTGTCAATACATATATAAATCACTTGTTGATATTACTGAAAGAACAAAGCGTACTTTTCAATTGGCGGTAAGTTAAGCAATAAATTCTATAAACTCCTTGTTGTAATATTAAATAGATTCTTTTTGATTTTGTTAATAATAATATATATAATAATCTCAGGACAATTCACACAGCGCCATCTAGATCCAAGTTAAGCTAGCTGAAGCTTGTGTTATGGGTACTAGATAACTGATACAGATACATAGATAATTTTTTTTTTTCGTAAATACATACATGTTACGTTTAAAGTATTTTATAACTTCACAACCACTGGTTGTTTACTAATATGATGGTGTCGGTGGTCTAGAGAGTTACTACTTTGCCTTATTTTCAATGGTCGCGGGTTCGATCGCTCGCACGGCACAATCATTTGTATTCATGAGTTGATAATTTGTATCAGTTGTAGTACCCATAACACGAGTTTAGCTTGGGACTAGATAGAGCTATGTGAACTGTTTATGGTTAATATTATTTATAATCATAGTACCAATTATGTTATAATAATAATAATAATAATCTCAGGACAATTCACACAGCGCCATCTAGACCCAAGTTAAGTTAGCTGAAGCTTGTGTTATGGGTACTAGATAACTGATACAAATACATACATATTATATATAGAAAACACCCAGACCGATACAAGCAATCATATGCTTGAATACAAAAGTTTGCGCCGTGCGAGGAATCGAACCCGCGACCATCGGATGTAAAGCGGTGTGCTAGACCGTTATACCACCGAGGTCGTCGTTATCTGTGATAGTACATACCTTAGTACTTAGTCTTATATATTATGTTTATTAAATTGATTAATAATAATTCTACATCTAGAGTAATTGCTCCAATATCGTCTGTGTGGATTATTAAGACGTAAGACATTGTAGGCTATAAAACAAGCTGTTGGGACAAGAATTAGACAATTCTAATTCTTGTTCCAACAGCTTGCTTTATAAGATACTAACTACCCACCCCGGCTTCACACGGGTGTACATGTATTATACATATAAACCTTCCTTTTGAATCATTCTATCTATTAAAAAAAACCGCTTCAAAATCCGTTGCGTGGTTTTAAAGATTTAAGCATACATAGGGACGGACAGACAGCAACAGCGACTTTGTTTTATACTATGTTTTTTTTATACTATGATGGTGACAATCAAGCATACGGCCCATCTATGTAATGATATTTGGGTTAGATACAGTAAAATTTCTAGATACTTAGACCCCACAGTTCTTAGGAAATGCAACCCACGTAAGTGCTGGCGTTGCAACATAATTTTATGCGTGATTCTGTTCATGACTGAGATGACATTCTCAATTTTCATCAGGTGGATTATCAGCTTCTTTATGTTTTCTAGCTACATAAATCTTTTCCAGTAATTTCACATACTGATTAAGTTAATGCTTGCGAAAATAGCAAAGTAATGTTGTATACGATCTCTTCTCTTCTTATGATTGTTTATAATATTTTTTTTTATTACAGTTGACTACAATTTTAATCATTACTACGTCACACACGCTACTTACAATATACTATCCGTTAGTGACAAGTACTAATCCAGAGGTAAAGTAATCAGTTACTTTAAAATTCAAAGTTTGTTTCTATTGTAATATAGTTCTGTTTTCTAAAGCCAATCTTTTAATAGAATTTGTTGATACTTTCCATTAGGTGGCTGTGAGCTTGCTCTAAAGTCATATTTTAACATAGACATCTTAACACCAAAGTGTTATAGTTTTTCTAACCAAAATTGCAGGATTTGTTCTATAGAGGTTTAAAATTTCTCTTTACTTACTTTCTGCGATAAGACGACAGCAGTAGCGAGTAGAAAGAGATCTCAATATTTGTTTGATAACAGTGGTATTGCCTTGTTTTTTCAGTAGATTTTTGAGAACATACATAATACTACCTGTTCCAGCGGTTTCTCCCGCATCAAATTTCAGTAACAAATATATCCTATATGTTATTTTGATGCATAATTTATATTAATGTAAATGTTCATCAAAATCCGTTCTGTAGTTTTTGCATGAAAGAGTAACAAACATCCATACTCACAAACTTTCACTTTTATAATGTTATTAAGATTAAGATATACTATTTCATTAGTATTTAATAATCTTATTTATAACTAGCTGTACCCGCAACTTCGTTCGCGTGGCATTTAACTTTATTTTTCTAAAGTAAAAGAATTTTTCTAAAATAAAAGTAGCCTAAGTTACTCCTTATTACATAAGCTACCTGCCAAAAAAAGTCCCGTCAAAATTGGTCCAGTCATTTCAGAGATTAGAAACAGACCGACAGACAGACAAAAATTGTAAAAAATGTTATTTTGGTGTATGTACCGTATTTATATGCATGTAGTAAAAAACGGTTATTTCAATATTACAAACAGACACTCCAATTTTATTTGTATTCGATAGACTAAAAAACTTGACTATTCAAAAGTCCTTATATTAAGTTTATTTGAATAAAGATTATTTCTATTTCTATTTATATGTATAGTTATTGTAAATATT